GGACAATGCACAGAGGAGGGTACTTTACAAGTACAAGCAGTTCCAGACACTACACTAGCACAGGCCCACGCACGCACACGACGGTCACACTCTGGAAGGACACGCAAGAACTGACAAAGATCCCTACAGAATAAGAGGGAGGAAGAGTCAAGAGCAACACTTCCTTTTTTGCTCTTTTTAAAAATTTTTTTTTGAGACAAGGTCTTACTCTGTCACCTGGGCTGGAGTGCAGTGGCTTCATCATCGCTCACTGCAGCCTCAAACTCCTGGGCTCAAGTGATCCTCCTGCCTCAGCCTCCTGAGCAGCTGGGACTACAGACGTGCGCTTAGAGGTCTTGAGTTTAGCGCTTCTCTAGTGCTAGTCTCGCCCTACACACGGACGAGCAGGACCCATCCTGCTTGGAGCAGCCGGCACTGATTGGCCGCTGCTTGCCCGGGCCAGGCCGTTCCTGGGCAGCCCCAGCGGTCAGCACTGTCTTCCTCAGTGAGCCGCATGCGGGCTGCACCTCGCCAGCTCCCGCCGGCCAGCCCCAGGCCACACAGGTGTCCCGAGGAAAGGCTGGCATCCAAAGCACTCCACAGGCACGGTGACGGGATCTGGCCTTGCTTAGCACCTTGCCCGCTATTAACCAGAACTAACGTTTTTTCAAAAACACGTAAGTCAGCAGCACCTAAAGCATACTTGTTCTTCTGAAACACAAACTTAGCATAAACGGCCAGGGCGTGACACTTCTCACTAGACCCACTGAAGGAGGAATTCTCCAAAGCATGGATTTCAAACAGAAGACACCTGCAGGGGCAGACAGCCCGTAGGCAATCACACCATACATTAGGGGAGGGGCGTTACGGCACACAGAAGAAATTTATACATGCTTTCTCATTGCACAACCCCGCACCTGGTTTTGAGCATGAGTGTGGCTGATGTTCCTGAAACTGGCCACTGCTTCCGAAAAGCATTCCAAAAATGCAAGCTGAGGGCGCAGCCCAGACGACTGCCCTCTTCCCACCTGGACCCCAGCGCTGCTGTCAGATCCTGCCCGAGCCCTGCTCGGCCCTCGCTTCTCTCCCGGAGAGAAATGGGTGGTTCTTTCAGAGCATCTTTCATTGGGCTTCAGCTTTCGGCCACCTTTTTCCAGGCAGGGGCCCAGCATGACAGCAAGGGAGGCCCTGCTGAGCCAGGGAGGACCGAGCAGTGGGAGCACAGCTGTGACAATCAGCTGCCCTGTGAGCTGCTGGGAAGGTGGCTCGTTCATCCAGGGCCTCAGGGGACGTCCTAGTCACATTTTCCACCTGCATTCTGCAGAGGAGACAGGTAATATCTACATCTAGACCTGTCTGTACAGACAGAGATGCACACACATATATAAGGATATCTAGACACACGTGTGTATGTGTGAGGGGTTAAAAACATATACACACGTGTGAGGGATTTAGAAATACACACACGATGAGTTGCAGTCTGCTATATCTACCTTCCTTTTCCTTATAGATGAGTCGCAGTCTGCTATATCTACCCTCCTTTTGCTTTTCTGCCCTTTCTGTTAATCTAGGAAATAAAAATTGATGGATTGAAAAAATACACATGTGTGTATATATTTTAATCCATCAATTTCTATTTCCTAGATTAACAGAAAGGTAGACTTGGAAGTGACCTGGGCTGCTAGTGAGCTTCCTGGACAGGTGTAGACAGAAATTCTCTCCAATCCACCTGCACTTGAGGCCTGATTCTTGGGGTCCCTCCCACCTGAAGGCCTGGGGTAGGCAGAATGATGCCCCCCTTCCCCACAAAAGGTGTCCACAGCCTCATTCCCCACTCCTGTGAATATGCTACCTCACACGACACAGGGAACTTGCAGGTGTGGTGAAGATTCTGGACCATGAGAAGGGGAGATTGTCCAGAATGATCAGGGTGGGGCCAATCTTTAACAGCAAAGCAATCCAGCAGCTGAGCTTAGAGGCACAGGGTGGGAGAAGAGGGAGAGACTCAGGGCATGAGAGCAACTTGGCCCCCGTTCCGGCCCTGAGGATGGAGGGGGCCCAGGACAGGGACCTTCTAGAGGCCTCTAGAAGCTGAGCACAGCCCTGCCCATAGCTGGCAAGGAAGCTGGGACCTCACTCCTACACACCTTGAATCTAGTCAATTACCCAACTGAGCCTGGCAGAGGACAGTCCCCCAGAACCTGAGGGTGAGGGCCCAGGCAATGGCACCTCGGTTTCGGGCCGTGGGGCTGGAGCAGGGGAGGAGCGGAGCCCTCTGGGCTTCCCTGCGCGCACACACAGAACTGTGCGCAGCAAATTTCCGCTGCTTTATGCTGCAAGCTCCAGCTGTTTGTCACAGCGGCAACAGGAAGCTAACACCTGGAGAGGCGTGGCCTGGAGGTGTGGGTGTCCTGAGGAGCCTCCCACGCCCTCAGGCTGCTGGTGGCTGCCCAGCTCCCAGGAGGAGGAGCTGCCTGGGTGACACCAGCAAGGGCAACCCCTGGCGGTGGGCATGTGACAACGCTGTTTGGAAAGGCAGTGGCAGAGAGTCTTGGGGAAAACTCTTTAACTGAGAATGACTTTTAGGGGGAAAACAAAACTAAAGTTTGCCTTGGACTGAATAAATTAGAGCCTGTCTCCTCTTTCCTCCCTCGCCACACTCCCTCCCGCTGCTGGTGCCCTGCGCAGTCCGCTGTGGCCGCTCGCTCTTCCCGTCCCTCGTGGGAACACAGAGCTCAGGACTTCGCAAGCACAGCCAACCTCAACAACCAGCAGGCATGTTGGGTTCTGAAAGAAGGTTCTGGCAGAGCCCACCCATCACGTACATCGCCATGAAAAGAAGCCTCTTTGCAATCCTCCGGCCAGGCCTGGCAGCCGTGTTTGGAGTTGAGTCTCCCTCACGTATTCTGAATGGCCGCCGTCCTCAGCTTTTCGCTGTCCAGTAGAAAGCGGTTTACGGTTGCAGGTCAAAACACTGAGAGGCAAAAGGGTTTAAAAACGGCCCGGGACCGCATAATTAATCGCAGCGGAGCAGGCATCAGAAGACTTTCACCCCAGCCCTTCCCTGAGATCCTGCCGGGATTCCGATGGGATAAGAGCCAACAGCTGGCAGGTGTGTCGGGAGGTGTGACGAAGACGGGGCCACTACACACGGCTCCTCCGTGCTCCCCCGAAAGGTGGCGCCCGGGAGACACACAGAGCAGCGGATCGGCCATGGGCTGGGACACGAGACAGCTGAAACAACCCAGGCCTGGAGGCCAGCCTTCCTCAGCAGGGAGGCGGCGGCCTGTCTCGGGCGTCTGTGTCTGAAACGCGGGCGGGCGGGCCGCACACGGTCTCGGGGAGGCACAGATGCCAGGGCAGGGGAGGCGGCGGCCTGTCTCGGGTGTCTGTGTCTGAAACGCGGGCGGGCGGGCTGCACACGGTCTCGGGGAGGCACAGATGCCAGGGCAGGGGGGGCGGCGGCTGAGGCTGCCACATCCTTGAGGCTTTGCTCCAGCTGGCAGCTCAGACCCCCATTCCAGTTCTGAGGCGCATTTATAAAACTTAATATGACCAGCATGTTTTCGTGATGCAATCGATTCCCTGAAAGACTCAGACAAGCCTTTTTCTTCAGGAAAGAGGCAAGGCTTGGCTATGAGATACGCTGAAACAACACTCCCTGAAAACAGGAGGGCACAGAGTGATGGCAGTGGTGGATGTCCTGCCTGGTAGGGTTGGGGAGAGGGAGGGAGAAGGACGTTGCTCACCGGACCTGTCCTTAGAACACAGGTGTTGCAGATTTCATTGCCTGGGCCCCCTGTCCTTCCAGCCAACTTCTAGCCAACTCTTGCTTCGCATGTTATTAGTAAAAGACAGGACATACCTGCTGAATTTATTCTCCAAGTCCCCTTTGTACATCTTTCATATGTTCCAGGCCCTTCCACAGCACAGATTTGAATTAAAAAGATATTAGTTGGCTACAGAATTTGGACCTGAAACCAACATCCTCTGCTGCCCATAAACACAGTGGCACCAGAAGAGAGACACTGTCTGCAACGTAAATGTAGGTACATAGGACGACACTGTTCTTAGATCTTTCTAAACACCACCCTCCATACACACAAGCCAGTTGTTCTTAGGGATACAGGCTGGTTTACTTTAAGAGATGCATGATGTGTATATCATATTAAAGCTCTTTGTTCTTTAAGAACTCTCTACCACAAGATGAAAATTACTCCCGACAGTAGTGGGGAGTTTGAGTCCAGCCCACCTGGCTATATGACGAAGAAAGAGAAGTGGGCCCCCTAAGAGGCAGGTCCGTGGGTCCCACTGACCAGTGTGAAACCAGGGGGCCTGGGCGGGGTGGGGGAGCCCATTCAAGCACTTAATGGGTGAACACTTTTCTTCCAGATTAAAAATGCTATGACACTGGCCCATATATACTGTTTGGGAGGATGGAAAATCATCCTCATTAATCCAAATGACTTGAGACGGACTATCTTTAATCCATTCGGGATGATAAAACGGTGTTCTGTTCCTGGCAGTAATACAGGTTACCCGTGCTTGGCAAAAAAAGGCCGAACCCAACCTGGGACGGAGGCTGTTCAGTGGGGCTGAGGATTCTCACCTGGTGACTGCACACCAGGCTGTGGACCTACACACGGCGTCCATCAATGCTCCGCATGGACCGCCTGCCAAAGTGAGCTCAGGTGGAGTTCACAACCCTACTTCTCCCCAAACCAACCTGATAGAACACGATCCATGCTGGTTTCTGGGCTGGGCGAGGACTCCTACCTGGCTTCCTAGCTAAGAAGCACTTCCACTTAGACACGGCTGAGTCCCCTAGAGACTCAAGTATTCAGACGCTGCTACTCATGCAAGTGCATAGGAGGGCGTTCTTTGGATGCTTTACAGAACAGAAAAGAATAAGATTCATGAGAAGAGAGGCCGAGGCAACAGATGAGGAGGTGAGAGTGTAGAAGGTCAGCCAGGTACTCAACACGTTGGCACTGTGAAAACAGGACCACCAGAAAGGATATCTCGCAGGACTGTCCTTAAGTGCATTTAGGAATCCTGTTTGCTGTGAACCTGTGGGAATGAAACCAAACTTTAGTATTCAGACACTCACCCCTGGATATAAACAGCCTTCATGCTGAAAGCTCTCTCATCTACATAAAAATAATAGGTGCCTAAAGATCAATTAAATAATTACATTTCGTAAGTGCTGTGACACTGGGTTTACTGATGAGACTGAGATGCCACTAAAGTTTCTCAGCAAGAAAACGGCAGACTCATAATTAGGCCCAACATCTGCAGGATATTTTTTCAATAAAAGCAGATGGATGTCTGCATATTTTCCCATAAATTATAGTTCTGATTACTCCTTTGTTTTCCTTATTTTAATAAGAAAACAGAATACTGTATGCCATTTTTTCTCTTCTGTTTTCCAGAAATCTGTTAACTTTTGACCCTGGAAGTTCTATAAACTAGGCTACATATAAAAGACTTCTTCCTCTGCACCCAGAGTAAACAGAGTCATAAAGCTGAACTTTATTACTGACTTCTTTAGAGTTTAAGACATTTTAATATGAGCTGTCTGTGCAAGAAAACATTTCTCTAGGGGCTTGAGTAAAGACATGTCTGACAAAAAGCATCGACATCATACTTTTAAAAATAAAAGCCTAGACAGAGGAAGTCTACAGGACCCCATCCTGGGGCAAGGACGCTGGGTCACTCTGTGCTGTATGGAGTCACTGTGCTCCAGGGGACCTAATCCAGCCCTCGTGTGGCAGTGACATGAATGGGGAGCACTGTTATCATAGCTGGTGCTCCAGTGTCCCCGTGGTGCCTGTGGCCACTGGCTTGGCTGTACCGTGGCACTTAGCTGCAGGCTGTGACTGGCCACCGTGTCCCCATGTGCCCCACTATGGGAAGGTGAAGAGAGGGGGTGGTTTCCGATTCTTCCTGAGGTCCCATTCCCCCTGTGCCTGCTGCCCAGGTGCCGTGAGGTGGGACACAATTGGCGGGAAGGGATGGGAGAGAAACGTCATCGAGAGCTGACAAGGAGAGACAGGTGCTTGAGGCTCCCTGTGCATCTCTGCTGGGCCAGCAGGGCACACGCTGCAGGTCATGGGGCAAGCACAGCCATGACACTAAATGAGGGGCCAAAAGGAATTGTTCTTTCTCCACTGAACCCCAGTTGTGTGGCCTGCCTCCCTCCTCTATCCGGAAATGCAGACTTCGCCTGCCCAGGAATCTCGGGGTCCACAGAGCTCTCCCACCATCCCCCTCTGAGCTCACCACCTGGCACAGAGGCCCCAGGTACCAGCTCTGCCTTTGGCCTATGCCAGTCTTGGGGGAGGGTGACAGCAGCCACAGATACCCTGTGGCCTTCCCCAGAGCATCACATGCCCAATGAGATGGGGGCCCATGGGGTTGTTGGGTATAGGGGGTGCAGACGGGAGAAGGAAAAGCTTCATTCATTTTTGCCCCAGATGCTCAGATAACTTGCAGGCAGGTAAATTCTTAATACTTAATTTTTGTACAAGATTAGGTTAACAATATTTAAGTATAAACTCCAGTAAACTCCAGTGTGGTGGAGCTGGAGTGAGTGAAACTTTAGAGAAGGTGAAAGAGCCATGTGCATCACAATCCAACAGTGGTGGCAGGTGGCGGGCTTCACTGTGTGTGTGTGTGTGTGTGTGTGTGTGTGTGTGTGACTGCGTGAGAGTGCGAGTGTATGTGAGAATGTGTGTGTGACTGTGCAAGCGTGACTGTGTGAGTGTGTGAGTGGTGGGCACGTGCGTGTGTGTCCCCTGAGTTTATGCAGCGAGCACTCTCCCCTGCTATCTACACTGCAGGGCGAGGCCACAAGTCCGATGGGGTAGCGCACACGAAAGCATGCTGCCGTGGTTAAAGATGACGTAAAATGTGATGTATGAACACTACTTCTCAGTGTCAGATGCGTGCTGGAGTATCGGCACTTATTTTTTCTCTAGTTGTGTCAACAGTTGTTTCTTTGAAAATAACATAATGCTAGGCATTCTCCCTACTTCCTTCATCTATTAATGCACAGATAGGACCCTGGCCACGTTTTCGCCCTTGTGGGATTCTGAAAAGAGCGCGAGGTGCCTCTGCAGAGCCACCATCTGCGTCACCCCAGCCAGTGGGGAGAAGGGCTCTGATGGTTGTCACTGTCTTCTCGAAAGCCCCCGCCAAGCATGGTCTCAAGCATGTATTACAAACGTGTATCACATGTGGATAAGAGATTATAGTCAGAAAGAATGGGAACTAGGATTTAAAACACCTATGAAAATTTGGGATGGTCCATTTACTGTCCAAATTTGACTAATATTCAAAAAGAACTAATGCGAACCCTTCCATACCGCCCAGTGCGAGCCCCACCGAAAGGGAAGGGGAGGAAACACGCACATAACGGGAGCCTGGAGCAGCCGCTTGTGTTTCCAGCCCGGCTGGCTGCATGGGAAGACATCGGGCCTCTGCTCAGACACCTCCGGAAATATCCAGAAAGAGGCTGCATACTTGCTAATGGGCGGTTATACTTCAGGAATGTGGGCAAGAGGCAAGGCTGGTCTTTAATGTCGCTAATGGTACGGTAATGGAAGTTTAAAGGCTTAAATTTACAGTTCAAAACAAATTAGCTTCCTTCTCATCTCTCCCTGTTGTAGGAAAGTGAATGACCAGGAGACAAAAGAAATTCAAAGTTATGACCTTAAGAATGGGGAAGGAAAAACATGCCATTTGCTTGGGCAAATTATGTATTAAAATCACTTACATCCAAATCTAATTTTAAATAAAATAGCTTCCTTTACATGCCAGGGGCCATTTACTCATGTTCTGGCAGATAATCTGACATCTCGTCAAATATAAGCTTTTCACACATACAGATCTGTGCGCAAGAAAACCCGGTGTCTCTCCCTGGGCGTTTTTCTAGGGAGGGTGGCCGTTCCTGCATAAGCACGAATCACGTTAACAGAGAAGCTCTGTTGTTCCTATCATTGTCGCACATTGTCCTTCCTGCAAAATCTGGGGCTGAACCTTCCAGGGGACCCCACAGCAGGAGAGAAAGTGAAGGCACTGAGGCTGGGATAGGGACAGGTATCAAGGAAAAAGTCTTGCTGGTGAAAAAGCCCCACAGGGTGGAAAAACGTGGCCCTGGGGGTGCTGGGGGGGGAAGGTGGGGAAAGAGGGAGGGAGGGAGGGAGGAAGGGAGTGGAGAAGAGGACAGGGCCCGGCAGGAAGTGAGGAGGGGACAGGGAGAGAGAAGGGGAAAGAGAGCCCGAAATGACCAAAGTATTAAATCAAAATTAAATCAGAAAACCAGTCAGGCAAATGGTTACATACGTAATCTGAGTCCGCCAGCATACTTACGAAGAATGACGTGGGTGATAACGAATGCAAATATAAAGACTGTCAGAAAAGACAGAGATAAAATAAACATATAAAAAAATCTGTAGTTTCTTTTCCCCACACAGTTGCCTACCCAGGGACAGTGGTGATCAAACCGTTCTGAAATGAGAGGCAGAAAGAAAAAAAAGTGGAAATCAATTAATATAATGTCTTTTTACCTGTGGGAGCCCCTCCCCTCCCACCCAAAACTCCAAAAATATAACAAAACAATATCATGCTACATATTTCCAAGTTAACCACGCAGAGAAATGCTTAACATCAAGACATTTCAAGAACACAATTATTCTTTTTACAAAAGTTAGCCATTTTAAGAAGACAAAGTATATGCATTGTTCTCAAATGGCAACTTACAGAAATTTACTTTAAAAAATTCTCTTCTTTTGTAAAAGGAACTTCCTTGCATTCACTGAACAATCTTCCCTTAAGATGATACTGACACCATTTGATAGTGGTGGCCTGGGCTGGGCTGGATGTTGGCTGACCAGCCTTGCACAGTAAGTGGCCACAGAGAGAGGTCACAAGGGCCCAGGATGGGACAGAGGGACAATTCTTTGTTCTCCCATCCCGGTTACAACTGTTTAACAGATATTAATCAGAGGCATTAATACATTTGGCCTCAAAACATTCCATAAGGAGAATGATGGTGTTGTCCTATTTTACAGATGAGCAAACTGAGGCTTAGAGAGATGGGAGGCTGCCTGCCTGCGGCTGCACAGCTCAGAAGCAATGGAACTAGAACTTGAGGCCAGGTCTTTCGGAGCTGTCCCCATCTCCCACCGCCCACTGCCCATGCTGCCTCAAGCACTTTCTAATCTGACAGGGCGTTGGGGATGGGCAACATTACACAGCACATCATGGTACCCTAAGTGCAAAGCCAGGGACTTTCACACGAAGTCTGTAAGGCGTTCGTGATTTGCTCTTCCCCTGGCATGTGATGGCCAAGTGCTTCTCTTTCCCACTCAGCAGACCTTCGATTCGGAACACTGTTCTAACACCCCCACTCGCACTGGACCGCCCGCCCACCGCTGGGCAGGACAGTGGGGGGCACACGACTTAGCTTTACGCTCCAGCTCTTTGCCAAGCTTAGCTTCTACCCACTTTTCATATGTATCTATCTATATGCGCTTAGAAAACACACAGGGAGGGCAATATGAGGTGTAACTATATACATGAAACATTATACAGCGAGGCAAAGTAGTCAGTGCCGGGACGTTCTGGTCAGGCATCACAAATCTCTCATCCCACGGTTTATGTCGAATGCAATCGTGCTTGTTGAAAAGGGCACAGGGACCCCTGGGTGACGGTGGTGGCAGAGGGACTGCAAGAGAATCGCTGCTGTCTGCAAGCGGTATTAGCAAGAAGCAGCCAATCTGAGCAGAGGACACGAGGAGACATTTCAGAGCTCACCGGCCTGGTGACAACCCGATGGCCTGTAACATGCTCAACAGAAGCAATTGCCATGGCGTGCCCATGTGAGCTACATGTTAACACGCGCTGCCAACGCCGCCGAGCTGGGCGATCTAGTCCCTTCACTTCGGCTCGGGGAGGGAGGGATGAAAGGCTGGGGTGCAGAGAGTTCTTAGGGCAGTGAAGTACTGTCTGTGTGACACTATGATGACAGACGCATGTCAGTGCACATTTGCCCGCTGCCATGGAATGCACAACGCCAGGAGTGAACCCTAATGCCACCCGTGGACTTTGGGTGATCCCAGGTGTCAGAGCAGGCTCATCAGTGGTAAGGAATTTCTCTGCTCTGGTGGGGTGTTGACATGGAGGAGGGAGGGGGCATATGGGAACTCCCTGTACGGTCCTCTCAATTTTGCCATGAACCAAAAATGGCTCTAATGAAGTCTTTAAATATTAAAAACGAACCTCATTTCCCCAAGTCACTGACTTACACAGTCTGTACAATGAGAGGTCTACATGAAGAAGTACAAAAAGAGATAAAATATGTGAATCAGACAGACTTTCCTAAGACTTCGAGGCTGTCATGTTGAGAAAGTGCTTTTCTCCTTAGTATGTGAGCACAGGAAAGGGAATGGGAGTGGCAGCTGGGACGGAAAGCACATTCCAGGCTGGAGTCTCTGATTCTGACCATAACGCTGATCTCTGAGTCCCAAGTGTGTGGTGGGTTGAGCCTCTTAACTGAAGTGAAAGTCGCCTCTGGGCAAAGGAAGTGGGGCCTGGGAGGCGTCACCCCACGAGAAGCACAGAGCTCTTGCAGCCCCGAGGGTGGTTTCTACGGGGCAGGCAGTTGTTGTCCGTTTAGCTTAGAAGCTAAGCCACTATTCTGGGCTTTCCTGCTGGAGGCAGGGGCTCTACAGAAACGAAGGCCACAGGTGACACAGCGAGGCCACTGCTCCTGGAGTTGGGGAGACCAGCACTGTCGCAGGGGTGGCGTGGGCTCCTGTGTCTCTAGCAGCCCTGAGCTGAGAACCGTTTCTAGCTGGAAACTTGTCTTACCAAAAACTTTCTTGGCCAGCAAAAATTCCACTAAAAACGTAGGCATACTGGGACTTGCTTTGACTATTTTTCACATCCTCCGTTGTGTCTGTTGAATTTATGGTGCTGAAGGAGTCTAAGGGCTCCACGGGCACCTTAGTATCTTTTTATCCCAAGGCCCAAATGCCAACTGTATGCAGATGATGCCAAAATGCCACCTCCCGCCCCCAGCAGCAGACTCCTGCTGCACGCCCTGCCTGGCCCTCAGACTCGACTTGGCCTGGAGAGGACTTCCCGTCCTCCTGCCCAAGCACGTGCCTCTCCAGGCTCCCCTCTGGCGAGTTGCGCAGGCCAGAACCCCGGGTATCAATCCTGCCCCCGTTCCTTCCATCACCCCCACAGCCAACCCATGACCAAGCCCCATCAGCTGCACCCCGGCTCCCTCTGAGGTCAGCTGCCGAGGCCCGAAGGTGGCCCCAGAGTTCGTGTGTTGGAGACTTAATCCCCAGTGAGACAGTGTTGAGAGGTGGGCCTTTACCGGGTGATCAGGTCGTGAGGGCTCTGCCCCCATGAATGGATTAGAGCCACTATTGCAGGGGGCGTTCCTGATAAAGGGACCATTCACCCCCTATCTCTCGCACGCGTGTGCACTCTCTTGCCCTTCTGTCTTCCTCCAACGGATGACACAGCAAGAAGGCCCCGCCAGTGCAGCCCCTTGACCTTGGACTTCCCAGCCACCAGAACTGTAAGAAATAACCTCCTTTTCTTTATAAATTACCCAGTCTCGTATATTCTGTTATAGCAGCACAAAACAGACTAAGACATCATATTTATTTTTTATTTGCTTTTGTCTGCCAACCCTACTCTAGGCATGATAAATATTTGTCAACTGACCAAGCACATCCTCATACTACCAAAACAACCTCTCCATGAGTGAGTACGTTGCCCACGGGCACACAGTTAACACGTAGCACAGCTGGGATGGGCCCAGTGCTCTCAGCACCTGAGCTCTTGACTATTAAATGCGATGCCACTGCCTTTCCTGAGTGCTGCCCATGTACCCAACACCATGTCAGGTGCTGGAACACTGAGATGAAACAAGAACAACAACATAAGACTCCACAGCTTCAAAGAATTCCTTATCCTATTTTGTGAGGACACTTTTCAGACTCCAAAACATTCCTCAGATCCAAGGGGTGAACTCCTAATAGACCTAGTTTAGCTTCTAAATCAGTCAGCTGTCACCATTGTTGGTGGCATACGACATTCTTCTTTTATGGGTCAAGGATGAAAATGGGCCACGGATGCATGGTGGAGGCCTCACGTGGTGGCCTGTCCTGTCCTGGGCAGGAGGAGCAGCAGGACGCTCAGGAGCTGCTGGGGGCGGTTTCCAACAGGGAAGCTGGTGTTACTCAGCTCCCAGGGCAGAAGACTGGGCAAGACCTGGGCACCAGTTGAGCTGGGGACAGTGTGACCGCCACAACCAACACCTGATGTAGGTCCCAGGACCCAAGAGAACACATCTGAGAAGCTTCGAACAGCCGCTATGACCGTAATATCTGTGTATTTTCTGTGTGGCAAAGTCGGATGGGTGTCATGTGTCCTAGGGGTGGCATGGGTGGGTGCACGTGATGGGAAGTTCATTAAGGAAAAACTTTGGGGTCATGGATACATCCCTTGATTCTAAAGTTTAGATGCTGGTCTACTCCAGAAGGGAGTGGTCTCGAGAAAAGAAAAGAACTTTTATCTGAGGAACGAAAGTCCTTTTAAATTATCAGGCCTAGAGAGACATTAAAATGGGGCATTGATCACATTCTACTCCCCACTTTGAGCCATGTATTCATCTCTTGAAACTGCTTGCTATTGCCAGAGGTAGCTATAAATTAACCCAATAATGCCATGCAGACACTATAGCCCATGCCCTATAGCTTCAGGATGCATCGCCAATCACTGATCAATGCTATTTCCCTAAACCACTGAGTCCTGACAAACAACTTTGCAGCAGCCCACTCCCTGTCTCCTCTTCTGCCTTCAGAAACCTGCTTGTATCAAAGGCCCGACGAAGCTCATAGCCAAGGCTGCGTGGGTCTGAGTCTCCCGGGCAGCTGTCCTTACTTTGGCTCAAGTGAACTCTTTAAGTCGTATTTTGTGCTTCAGCCTCTTCCTTTTAGGTAAACAGTGCATATGCTGCAGTTTCGCTGGGGGATTCCTCGACACAGAATGAAGAGCTATTCCCTAAACCATGGCTATTCAGTGGAACCCTGGGGTGGGGCTGGGGGGTGTGGCTGGAAAACCAGATTCTCTAAGATTGCAAGGGACTGGCTTAGCTAGCTGACCACACCTCCGGCAGCATCATGCTGCCCTGCAAGGACTTGTGGATTGTGTTCCTCTTTCTGCCAGGTGACCTAGAGGTGAGGAATCACTTCTAGTCATCCTATAAGCCCTGGCACCTACGTGCCTGGCACGAAGCAGACATTCAATAAATATGCATTAAGTAAAGGAGGAAATGTCTTTAATTGCTTTTAATAGGTTTACAAGTGATCACTACTGTTTGCCAGGTGGAGGCACCGGAAAATACTGCCTAAACCTAAGATTTCAGGCATGCTGACCAGGGGTCCGGGAGCTTTGAATACATTCAAAGAAAGCTGTGGGCTGGA